TGACCGCAAATATGTCTTCATGAGCCTGAGACGTCAGGCCTAAATAACATCATAGTTAGAGAAATAACATTCTGCAACCTGATTTTTATCATCTCAAAATCAGCATTGCAGCTATGCTAGCAGCATTGTGCTTTCATAATGATTTAATTTCTCGGTAGATGGTTAATCAGTTTCTACCTGTTTCATCCTGTGTCTCCTCTCCCCATGACCCCTGACTCCCTCGCTTTGCCCCATTCGGTTTTCAAAACTAATCAGTCTCAGTCGCACTCGCGTCATCTCGTCCTGCATTCACTACAGTCCGACATTGGAAATTAGTGGTCGTAAAACAGTAAACATGGTAAAGCCTTATTATGGAGCTTCTTGTTTTCACTCAGAGATCTAAAAAACTTGATGGCTGTGTCAAGGAACGATATGTAAAAAAAAAAAGGAAACATTATACACAGTCTTTCAAAATTGTTGATGTAGAGTGGCATAAAAGACAAACTCCTAAGCTCAATTTTTTTTACCCCAATAAATTTTATGTTTGAAATTATTTAAATTAATCAAAAAGGTTTTCTGATAGGAAGCTTCTGGTAGATATAGTTCTCAAACTATAAAAACAAATAATGTAAAGCAGGATTAATCATAAAAATAAAGTTTTCTTTATCTATAATTCAATAAAAATCTAAATGTAGCAAAGAGAATTATCTTCTTTTTATTAATCATTTAAATCATCTTTATCGAGATTGTAGCAGATGCTTCTGATCTTTAGCTCCCTCCACAATGTTTCTGTCACACTTTAGTCAGGTCTCCAGCTACTCTGAAACGTTAATATTACTTTTTGGTGAAATAAAAAATAAAAAAGGTCTATTTAAACCCCAGTGTCTCAAATGGCTAAACTGTATGAGATAATAACCTAAGAGGTTTCTTTTGATTTTGCTTTTTTATTAATATTCAATGACTCAGGTTATAACACAAACGTACCTGCAGGCAAAGATAATGTGTGAAAATGCAGAATACTGTTTTGTCTTTGTGGAAAAGCAATTTTCCCCCAAACGTAATAACTGCTTGTACCACCCTTGGCTTCAGAACTACCCTTCATGTTTGGGATAAGTGGGGCCATTTCTGACCCACTCATCTTAGCCAAAGGGTTTCAGTTTAGCTGCGTGGCCCTGTTAGAGGGTCTTCAAGGAAAACTAGCCTTCATTATTTGTCTATTGCCAAGCCATTTTAGGGTGGGCTTGCTGCTGTCCTTTTGATCTTCTTCCTGCTGCATAACCAAAGTGTCCCTTGAGCTTTAAGTCAAAATCAAACCACCCACAACAAAATCATTCACCTTTGTCTAATCATTTAAAAAATATCCTTCCAAAAATGTTTGAAATCACCACCCTCTTTTTATAAGTAGAGAGACAGATCTTGGCCTGACTGCACATTCCCCAGTAGCCAGTGGATAGCATTAAAGCCTTGAGCATAGATCTTTCTCCTCACATGCTCAAACAAAAAAAACACAAATACTGACATTTTGGTGTAACTTTCATAACACCTTCTCTTTCCACCAGCAACCTCACAAACTTTGACAGAACTGAGATTGAAAATGTGCTAATGTTGTGTAACTCAGCCTGGTTATCAATGGTATGCAGGCAAAAATACAAGAGGCCCTGCAAAGGATAGTGAGGGGAACTGAGAAGCTAACAGAAGAGTATTGGCCCTCTCTCAAGTATCCTTTCTAGATTTTCTATCATCAGTGTCCTCATCAGAGATGGGAAGTAACGAAGTACAAATACTTTGTTACTGTACTCAAGTAGATTTTTCTGATATTTTTACTTTACTTTACTACTTATTTTTATGGCGACTTTTTACTTCTACTCCTTACATTTTTACACAAATATCTGTACTTTCTACTCCTTACATTTTAAAAAATTGGCTCGTTACTTTAGTTTTGAATCATTTCAATGGAGTTACCGTTATTATTTTTCACGTCATCAATACCAAATTCAATCTAATTGGATGGGAATCTACGTTGCATTTGACGCACCACTACAAGATGAATCGACAGATTCGGCGGTATTCATTGGCGGCAAATCATTGCAGCTTGGTGGCGGTGGCGTTAGCATAGTAGTATGGACGACGAGATGATTGAAAATGAACACAACGGAGATCTAGTCCTATTGGCAGACATCCATTTAAAATGTAGGCAACGGCATGAAAAAAGTGGTTTCTACTTTTACTTTTATACGTACTTTAAGTAAATTTACAAGCCTGTACTTTGTTACTTTTACTTGAGTAAAGAAGTTTAATCAGTACTTCCACTTTTACCAGAGTATTTTTTAACACAAGTATCTGTACTTTTACTCAAGTACGGAAAGTGAGTACTTTTGCCATCTCTGGTCCTCATACAGTCCTCATAAACCTTTAGAACAGTATATCCACCAGACTGCAGCACATTTTTCTACTACAAGCTGGTATAAATCTGAACTGCTGATAAAATTACCTAATTTACACTTAAGCAGTCATGATATTTTTATTTAATTTCACACTTAATCCATTTAAATTCCAAAAAAATGGCATGTCTGGTCATGTTTTTATTTGTGCAATTGCTTTCATAATAACATGAAAATAATTATTTGATTTATTAGAAATATGTCTTGTCAATCACAAAAGCTGGTTGTTTCTTCAATTCAGGTTTTACACAGGCACCAGCATCTGTATTCTCTGCTGCCTGTTCGTGTTCTGCACACAAATCAGGAGGAGGGAAAACAGCAGAGAGACGTCAGCAGTTAGAAAATGGTGTTGTTGAGTGGAAGCTCTGTTGTGTTCCAAGATTTGTGTGTTTTTTGTTTTTTTTTGCAAGACAAGGAGGTGGAGACCAAGTTATCTCCTCCTGCAGCTGCTGGCTGCCGGTTCTTCATCGTTAAATTGAGGGTTAGTGAAACAAAGTAAGTTTTATCTAGTTAGTGTGGTTCAGGAGAGAACTTTTTACAAAGTCACAGCATGTTGTATATAAATTTGGTTGAAAATGAGATTAGGTGCCCTGCAAATGTTTTCATATGGTTATAACTTATCCACAAACTGCACTCTGCTCTTAATTAGCATATTTATGTGGAAGACACACAAGAGATGCAAAACTGGAATTGACGGGATTTTAAGAGTATGTATGCTTAAAGCCCCTGTCACACCTTAAAAATTAAGCCAGCGTATGCCTAATTTTCTGTGTATTTTTTCAATTATGGGCGTATACATAGAGTATTACCACCCGCCAGCAGAAAGAAAGAAAGGGAAAGAAAGAAGGTTTGCAGTTGCAGCAGATTCAGCGTCATGACTTCTAGGAAGTTTGTTAGTCGTGGCCATGACGTCAAGAGGTACTTGCCGTATGTCTGTGCCAGCATGCTTCAGCGTGTTTCAGCAAGCTTTAGTGTGCTCATAGCTTTTACAAAACTGACCCATAACTTGTCCAACATTTGCCAGCGTTTTTGCCAGATTTTTTTGTACGCCAGGCATACCCTGTCTAAATAATCAAAGTGTGACAGGGGCTTTGCTTTTTGCTGTTCTGCTGTTATTGCAGGTGATTCTGAAGATTTTGCTCACTAATCTGTGAACATCAAGGTTTTAAATCTCCATGCTAAGGCACATGCTTTGAAGGGGCAGAATCTATTTATATGACAATTTAAATTCCATATTTAATTAATCTAAAAAAAATCACTGGGTCCTAATGGCATATTATAGTAATTCTTGCTCAGATTGTCAGCAGATTCCATCCGTCCTTGAATATTTCCATTAAAAACATTACTTGGGCTTAGAAACAATATGTGCACTGCTGGTTATGTGTGTGCAATGAGTAAACAAGAAGAGTATGGGGCTAAGCAATGCAGCAGCTTAAATACCTCTGCTTGCCTTTACAGCCACATGATCCTATAGCACATATATCCGGTTTTTGACTCTGGAAATATCTGAGATGTAACCTCAGAGATGAAATTATTAGACAATTTATGTGCAGTTATTGAGGAACAGACATGTTGTAAACAATGTTCAGTTGATTTAGGACATTCATCTGTTTTTGTTGATCATGGTTTTCAGATAGATCTGCAGCTTCATTTGAGCTACGTCTGACGAAAACAACTATTGTTAAGAGCATAGTCACTGGATTGAATATAATAAGAAATACGGATTGCAGACATCATGTTTAAATGATACTCTAAATTATTGTGGTATATTCTGCTCATTGTTTTGTGAATGTATGTTGTTTAAAGTATTGAACCTTGTTTTAGGAAGGCATTAAGTATATATATAAAAAAAAAAAAATCAGCAAATAAATGAGATTGTGACATCACAGAAAAAGTAGAGCCGGGTATAATGCTGCAAATATTACATCAAACATTGTCCAGTAATAGTGAAGATGCGATAAATGTAACATTTCATGAAATGCTCTTAAATTTCATCACATTCACGATTATGTAAATTCAGTTTTTCAGATATGCCATTTTGTGTTGCAAGACAGAAAAAAATAAAAATAAAGAGATGACCAGCTTTAGTGTCTCTCGACTTATTTATAACTGATTTCATGTTTGAACCGTCTCTCTACCTTTTCCTTCCCCACAGAATGTTAAGCACCTCAGGTATTCTGCCGGTCATTCGGTGATTGGGGTCGGAGCCACGTTTCGGTTGGCTGTCAAGCACACAGCTAAAAAGACGAAGAGCAATTTTATTCACTTGCACAGAGTTATGAAAGCATGAAGGTGTATTTTTTTTCCATGCTGATGTCTATAATGATGATGCTGCAGAGCAATTTCACAGTAATATTGTGCTCCAGACGGAAAATACCCTGGAAGTAATTTTAATCAAAGCATACAAAACTCTATGCTTTCATGTCTGAGTGATCTGCCATGTACCATGTTTTTGCAATATTTTCAGGCCTCTCCTACAGGCTTTTCAAATTATATGTTGCATTAGGATGTGAGGAATAAAGCATCCCTATTTTGCACAGAGGAACACACCACAATATGAAAAGTGATGTTTATTCACAAAGAAATAAAAACGCTCATGTGGTACAAAATAAGTTTGCAGAAAGCTCATGGACATGACAACAGTAGCTCAGAACATCAGTAGTTACACAATTAGACAAAGCATATTCACAAAATATAGGGAAAATAGGTAAATATCATTATCTGCAGATGAGAATAAATGTATTATTTTTTGGCCATTTTCTGCTTAGAGAAAAATACTCCCACTAGACCAAAAATTCGATTTTTATTTTTAAAGATGATACTGTTTCTACACAAAAAACAAAACATTTAGAGCTGAATCATTTGGCAACACCTTAAATATCATCACATTATGGAGACTGAGGCAGAAAATGTAACAAGCTGAAATGTTGAATAAATCGGCGCTTTATAGCACATCACATACCTGAAATTATGATCTTAACATTTATATCATATATACATATATATATATATAGGTACATACACGTGTAACATTATAAAGGAGGAATGAGAGTTACAATAAAAACCTTTAACACAAGAACAACATAATAAACACAAGTATTTTACAACACTTGATTATTTATCAGAGCTTCTGCAGAGAAAAATGTATTCAAATGATGTAAACCACATTTTTTGAATGATATGATGTTATATGATTTTTTTCAGCAACATCCACAGTCACTTAGTCCCATTTTTGCCAACACTTTTTTTTCCTAAATTATTCTATTTTCTGTGTGCTTGGCTTCGAAAACTATGGAAGGTGTTATAGGCGTGTTATAAGAAAACCACTACATAGAAAAAAGTTTGCGTACCAGTTTCTCTCAGGCTTGGATGGGATATTTTAACATACTTACCAGATACTAAAAAGTATAGCACAACTAGGTCACGTATTTTAAGAAACAGACTGGTTCTTAAAAATTTTGAGCAACACATTCATGAAAGTATCTGTGTATTTGAAAGATTTTAAAATGTTATTTTATGGGCTTAAAAATATATATATGTCTATGCCCATGCACAGAAAAAGTTATTAAAGTACATTTGTTTTCTTCAATTTCTTGGTCTAAAAGTGTATTACCTGAATAATCTACTTAGCAAAAAAAAACAAACAATACATGTCAAGATTCAAGAGGGTCAAGAGTCCAGAGTGGAGTCTTACTATGAAAGTCTAGTACAGTTGTTTGTTAAACAAAGGGTCAGACCCAGCAGTGATACTTAATGAATTTCCAATTGTTAAATCAGTCTTTTTCACTGTTGTTAGGTCAAAAGATACTATATTAAAGTTTAAATAAGAGACCTCTATTTTGTAATGTGCAATGGGTGGTGTTTTTAAAAGACCCTAGAGACTATTGAATCAATTTCCAATTGTTAAATCCGTCTTTTTTCTCTGTTATTAGGCCAATAGATGCTTTATTACAGTATAAATGGGAGGCTTTTATTTTGAAATTTGCAAGGGTTGTGTTTTGAAAAGGCATCTAGAGTCTAATATAAACAAAGTGGTTTGGGTTTGAGTTTGGGTAATAATGTTGAATGCAACGGCATTCTATGCTCCTTGCATTGCAATGGCAGGTACCAAATAGGTTACAAAATGTTAGCAAATCACTCTTCTGCTTGATGAAATAAAAGCCTCTATATCATTAATTTGCTTCAGTCATCAGCACTTTTTTTTGCATGAATCTGTCTCCTAAAACACTATTTCCCTACCAAAAACAGTTCATAGCCAACCAGCTGGCCAAGCAAAGATTTGGACACTTTTTACCAGTAAAGAGGAAAGAAAATGTTTGGTTTCTATAACAGAAACCAAAATGGTGCTATAATAGCAACCACTTTTTTTTTTTTTTTTTTTAGATGAGACTGTGAAACTACATTAGCAAGCAATGAGCTGCATCTCTCCAGGCTACCTGAGCAGATACCCTGACTAACAAACAGCTCTTATCAGTTTCATGTTTTCTCATAGTATTAAGATCAGAGATTATATACAATTCTATCTGAGCAATACTCATGTTCAACTGGAAACATCTGTAGATTGTTGCAGGAGTCTGGGTCCCTGAGCAAGACCCTTAACCTTGCACTGCTCCCCGGGCGCAAAAAGTGGCAGCCCACTGCTCCCCAAGGGGATTAGTTAAATGCTGAGAGTGAAATTCCCTATTATGGGATAATAACAGATTAATATTTCTTTTTTTATTTACAATTATATGAATTAAATTAACTAATAGAAATAATGGGTTAGCTATTGCAAGTGTATTCATCTAAATAAGCCAAAATGTAAAACTATTTAAGCTAACTGACAAGAACTTCCATGAACCAGAGAAAAGGTAGACTTTGATAATAAAGTAATTTAACTTGATCTCCAAAGTCAATAATGATTATTTTCTTTCTCTTCACATTTTAATTAGTATCAAAGCAGTGGTCACGTCTCTGTCCAGAATTTTTAACATTTTCTTTCAAATGTTGGGGCACACCAACTTTCTCAGTTTGGCAATTTTAGAATAAGATGTTTCTTTGGGTATTTCTCTGCCCTTTTTCCAACCTTTAGTTGTTCATTTCCCAACTCATGTTGCACATTAATCATCTCTACTGCAGAGAGCCTCCTGCAGAAATATGGTCACACTTATTAGGAAATATCACCTGATCCTGCTCCTCAACAGGTAGTCATGAGGTGAAAAGAAAAAAAGAAAAGTCATTTTGATTTCTATCTGCAGTCTGACAGTCCTTTGAGGCTAATGTGCAACGAGCTGACCATGGTAGCCTCCTCCTGCATAGACTCCTTCATATCAGGTTCATCCACACACATGAGGCCCACAAGTCTTCCGGGCAACTTCCCGCTGAAAGCCAAGTAGATGCAGGGGTTCACGCAGCTGTTTAGGCTGGCAAGCAGCATCAGGATGGTGAAGGTGGCCGCTGGAAAGTGAGTGAGAAAATATTGAATCTATGGTTTCTCTACATAATTATATTAATTCATCATTTTTCAAAGCTGCAAGTTATGTAGAAACAAGTGATAGAATATGAAGGCTTAGCATAATTAATAGTGCATCTTTAACTTTTAAAACTATCTATGTGTTGCTGAAGAGGAAGAATATACTATGCCGTTAAATCTGATCCCAACACTGTATTTTCAAAATATTTCAGGATATTTAAAGAGAGTCGGCTTTATCCAGTGCCTTAGACCTTAAATATGCTCCTTTAACTTTCCTATGTTCTGTCAAATTTCAAGGTATTGTATTAGGATTTTATGTGATGCATCACCAATTGCGACTGCATTATGTTAAACTGAAAAATTACCTCTTTTTTTTTCTAACTTAGAAAAATTTAGTAACGCAACTTCAGAACTACCAAACATAGCCATTAACTTATACTGAAAGGCTGCACAAAGGAAGCATTAATCGGAGAATGAAATAAGAGTGCGATGGTGACTCTGGAAGAGCTTCAGATATCCATAGTTAGGGGAGAAAATCTACTGTAAAAAAACAATTATTAGTCGTATCCTCTTCAGCCTGACACCTTTCATTTAAGAGTAGCTAAATTAAAGCTGCTGTTGAAGGAAAATCTATTTTAGTTTGCCTAAAGTCAGTAGACGATATTATATCTGAACTCTTTAAACATGTTCAAACTGCAATATCTCTAGGGTAAAACATTGGTGGCCTCATCATTGTGAGGGGACACTTGTCTCCAACCTGGAGTATTAGCTGGTTAGAAGGGGTGGATGGAGCTACGGCAGGACAATCATGGAAGAAAAATACAGCACCAAAATTGTCATGGAGCGCTCAGAGAAAAGCAGACCCTGAAACCCATACCTAAATCCATATGATGATTAAGGCTGTTCTGTACACTTATTGTTTCTGGATGAATGTGAATATGTCATAGTGGGGAGACAGACCTTAGAATACTTGTTTCAATTGAAGCAAAGGGTGATTAAAAAATGTGCTTTCTGAGGGGGGGGGGGGGGGGGGGGGGTGATTACAATATACACACTGCAATTTAAGCTTGTTTGCACTCCAAGCAGGTAACAAGTATTTGCCAATTGTAGTATTTCTTTTCTTTCTTTTTTTTTAGTGTAATTATATATTATGCCCTTGAATTGAGATACTGCAGTTGTTTTTTCTTTATTTTGAAGTGTCTTAATTCATTCGTGTATTTTTTTAACTTTGCAAAAATTTTGCAAACTTATTCATTATAATACTTTGAGTTTTTAGAATGTGAAGAGAGAAAATGAGGAAACTGAGTTGGATTTAATTGTTGACTCTTACACTGGGTGGGCGCCTCTGTGTCCCAGACAGACCAGAGCTGCACTGTGAAGAAAGGCGCCCAGCAGACGATGTATGCCAGCACGATGACCACAGTCATCTTCACCGTCTTCACCCTCGCCTTCGATAGCCCTGCCACGCAGCTGGCCCTGGAGGACAGAGGCTTCGTCACCGCCTCCCCCTGGTGCGCCTTCAGGTGGATGTTGGTGTGCACGGTGCGGCAGATGCGCACCTGACACACGATCACGATGAGAATCGGTAGGACGAATATCACCAGCGTCGTCCAGGTCACGTAGGTTCTCAGACCCCAGGGCATGACGAACTGAGCCCAGCAATCATACACGCCAGGAGCGACCTCCACCCGGGAGAAGATGAAGACCTGCGGGAGGCTTCCGATGAAGGAGACGCACCAGGCGGCGCACACCGGGCCGTTCCAGCGCGCTCTGCGCCTCTGGAAAGTCACCATGGGGTTGCAGATAGCTTGGTATCGGTCAATGGTCATCACAACGATCATATAAGTGGAGGCAAACATCCCGACCACCTGCAGGTACTTCACCAGACGACACAGGATGTCAGGACCGACGAATCTGTCCGTGATGTCCCACATGAGCTGCGGGCACACCTGAAAGAATGTGACCACCAGGTCGGCGACGCACAGGTGGAAGACAAAGACGCGCATCCTGGAGAGCTGCTTCCTCCGCTTCCACAGCGCCAACAACAGCCCTAAGTTAAGGAGTCCTGAAGCTATGAAGATGATGGACAGCAGGGCTATTTCCAGGCGAGCCAGGCGTTCATCCCGAGGCTCATCCCCAGGCAGGACACTCTCCAAACTGGTGTTACTGGTGTTCGCACTGCACCGAGCCATCTCCTCACTCCAAACACTGCTAAGAGGAGATCAGCACCACTACAAAACCAGCACAGAGTAGAACCATTTGAATATTATAAACACAAAGCAGATAGAATGAAACTCAACAGGCTCATTAAAAAGTCAAAAGATGGCTGTAGGAGATTAGATCATTTTTCCAATCATAGGTGAGCTGGTCCAAACAAACTGGGGAGCTCAGAGGGGAGAGCAGATGGCTTTATAAGTAATCTGTGCAGGAGGGAGGAGCAACTTCACTGGATCCAGTAGTCAGTTTCAGCAACAGAGGATAAGGAGAGAATACATATGACACAAGGCAGAGAAGAGCCTTTAAAGTATCACCTCTTAGTAAAACACAAAGAAACAGCTTACAGAAGCTTATAAGATATGTTGCTTATGCTTGTTTCCCTTTTAAACAGTGAAAATAAATACAAAAAGTGTCCTTATAATAATAATAATAAAGTGCTTATATTATTGGACCTTAGTGTTGCATTGCTGATCACTTCACTGCACTATAAAGCACCTAGAAAACTGGTCTAACTTTACTGGTACTGAACTAAACTGATTTAAATCCTTCTTGAAAGACAGGGATTTTGTTTTGCCGGTAGGTTACTTTAAGTCACATGTTGGGTTCCCCAAGGATCCATCATAACCCCCCCCCCTATTTAATGTGTACATGCTCTCCCCTAGCCAGATTATCATAAACAACATGTCATAGTCTGCACAGTTATCACTGTATCTATGAAGACAGCACAGAGCAATACATTACAATGTCACCAGTTAATTATGAATTGGTTCAAGCACCGGGTGAATGCATGGAACAGATCATCGCATCTACAGTATGTGTCAAAATTTAAAATAACAAAAAGAAGTGCTTCTATAAGAAATTCATGAAAAACACAATGACTTTTTTTTTTATACAACATCACCTTAGAGGCATTAATGCTGATACTGGCACTAACATTTTTTAGTTTATAAAGCTAAATATAATTGTTAACAAGGCTTATTAACTTTTCAACTTTACTTTTTAACTTTTAAATTAGCATTTTTACCTTTTTTTTTTACTTTTTTACTTTTTAATTAGCCTTTTACCCCTTTTCCTTGACTTTTTAACTTTTTACCTTTTTTCTTGACTTAAAGGTAATGTATCATTCAAGTGTTCATCTAATTGGTCAAATGCCAAAATAAGATGTACCGCCATGTAGCATTATCTTTGCTGAATGGCTGGATATAGATCTTGTGCTTCTAGACCTTACTGAGGGACAGAGGGGACTCCATTTGTAAGGGGTATGCAAGTAATCAGACATGCTAACTTGCCCTATGAAGGGTTAAAAGAGCCTAAAAAGAACATTTCCAGAATTAAATTACTAATGTCTCAGCAGGACCTTGAAAAACTAATTAATTTGTTTATTTTTATTAGAATTGATTACTCCAACAGTTCTGCCTAATAAGTGATCTGAACAAACTGTAAGAATGCTGAAAGCCTAAGTTGCTTTGAATCAATCAATTGGAAACTTATTTTGTCAACTTTTTTACATTTTTGGGCTCTTGGAAATTATTTTTAATAAGTAATAATTATTTATTTCTTCTATGATTATATGTTTTTAAATGGATATTTTTTTACACATTCTGTGTGTAAATTGTCTAAGAAAAGTGAAATCTTGAGAGCTGTGTATGTTTTGCTGTCACTTTACTAACATGCAACCTGCTGTCAATCAGCATTCCTGCTGTCGTGCTCCAGCTTCTTGGAACACGATAAACAGCTCAACTTTAAATAAATGATTAAAGTAACAAAAAAAAAATTTCTTGATAAGAACATCTAATGATTGTTGAATATTTTTTATTTAGTAGGTGAGCGAATACTTTTGGCAATAAAGTGTATCTCCATACTATCAAAACTATTTCTATAATCTGGCCAAACTGCAACACCCCACAAATAAACAGATTTTGACTGAATATCCTACAGGGGGATTAAATACCTGTGGACATTTTTTTATTAGTAATAAAGGAATATGTGCAGAAAATAAAATGTTTATTTACAAACCAAAATGCATAATACAAAAGCCTGAATTGAATTACAATAAACTGGTGCATTCAAGGTACAACACAAGTTATAAAATACAAATAGACAGAGAAAAAGAAAAGGGGCAAAATAAACACCAAGGGGTTAGATTTTATAGTCATATTTTTTAGTTTAAGAAACAAAAAGAAAAAGGGAATTCTATTAAGAGCACCGTGGCATATCAGAGGACAAAGGATATGTGAAACACTGCAAACCTTTTGCTGAGACAACCCCTCCTTTACTGGTCACACACTATAAAGCCTCATCTCATAACATCGAGCTGTGTCCACCTAGGAGTAATTAGACCTCAGACTACATCTAAAGATCTCAGATTACAATCTCTGTCCAACCCATATTGCAATATATATATTAAAAAAAGGACTATTATTAGCCAAAATGAACAATCTCATAAAGAATGTAGGTAATATAGTGGCAAACTAAGAGAAACGTCAGGATAACAATCTGTAATCAATATGCTTACCACAATTAATTGTTTCCTTGGCATCTTTAACGTTAAGTTGTGGCCTAAAATTAGTTCAACATAGTAACTCAGCTTGCAAGGATCCGATATTTTGTTTATGCAGATTTTTCAGAGATCTATAGCTGTCAGTAAACCTTTAGTTCCCTTTTTCACATAAGCTGGACTTTAGGCAAGCAGACACCCATAGATAAAACAAGTTCTGCTTGCTTTTTACCCCAAGCTATGCGGCAGGGACACAAACCTGTTAAAGGGGATGCCCTGGTCATATATCAAACCTTTTGAAATACAAAAAAGCGTCATCAGATGTGAGACACACCATGATCTTCTCCAACAGCAAGTGAAATGCTGAGCGTGGACGGAGAGATGGATGGAGCTTAACACAGACAAATCCTGGGAAAAGAACAGGTGAGAGGCAGCAATACATTCAAGCCTGGGGCAGAAGTTTATTTCCCAGGAGAATAACTGTCCTGAATATACAGCCAGAGCTCCACTGGTTTAGATTAAACAATATATAGCTGTTGGATTGGTCGGATTAAAGCAGAGACCGACAAATTAAACTAAGAGAAAAGACTTATGCTCAAAGACGCCATCGATCCAACCTCGAGATCGATAGGTCATGAGCTGGATCTCTTTAGCAAAGATGAATAGGCAAGTATGTCAGTTTATTAACAAGGCTGGTGGAGACATACTGTAAGAGTTCCTGCTGCAACTGCAGTAAAAAGGGGGTTTGATAAACACAAAGGCAAAATGATTTGTTTTTGTAACAAATTTGTGATAACCTATATGCATCACTTTTATCCCATTATACAAATATGCACAATTGCACTGCTGGCTTATCATGTAAGATCCTATTAGAGTCTACTGCAGTTTGTGACTGCAAAGTGAAAAAAACATAAAAAAAATTGCTTAGTCCCAAGTCATGTCTCATATTTATTGTATTGTTTCATTTTTTTTCCTATGACATAAACCGTTCATGTCTGGACTGCCGATACATAAGGGTTTAATGATGAGCCTTTTTTGAACCAGAGAAACTTCACTGGTTCACATGATAAAATGCGCTGCTGTGGCCCAGTTTCACTAAACACCAGCTGAAATGCAAAGCCTACATCTGCAAAGTTTTTCGATAATATGCATTTGATCTAACCACATCTAACCGCAGTGCAGTCATAATGTAAAACAAAGGCTTTCCTTATGTGATATTTCAGTTTATTTCCCCTTCATGGAAATCACGAGAACAAATAACAATTTGACAGATCTACTAAATTAACATAAAAACATACTTCTGTTTTAATTGGCAAACTTAAGGCTTCACATGACTCAGCAGTTCATCTTTGTCCATTTGGCACCGACTCTTCTTCCAGATGTCACAGAGCTTCTGCAGAGTGGCACCGATCTCCTTTCCTGAGGTGATGCCCATATTCCTGAGATCATGGCCGCTGATGGGGAAGCGAGGAACGGACCATCTCTGGTGAATACTTTAGTTGATACTTTAGTAACTCACACACTTTGCTCTGAGAGTCTGGCTCCCGGCTCTGAGGAGATACAACATGTTCAACATTTCACTCAAGTGGAGACGTTAATTTCACGTGAGTTTTATTGTAGAGTGAGATATTTTAAATATGAAATATCTGCAATTAGTATACAGGTAAAAAAATAAAATAAAAGATTTAGGTAGTTATAAGAAGACAGGCGATTTGATCTCAGACCACCGGGCAGCATAGCAGCTCACAAACTGAATGAGATTATTTCTATATATTCAAATCCTGACTTTTTATATCTAACTTTAAGGAGACATGAGTTTTAAAAAGGGAAAAGGCCGCATATAACAAGCCAATATTAGTTAACCTGATTTCTTTCACTCTGTAAGTGAACAAAGCAAGCAATAGAGTCCATATCTACTGGGAACTGTGGTAAAAAGGAGAAAAAAAATCTTTAAAATAAAGTAATCGTTGGAGCATGAAAAAATATATTTATTTAGGTCCATGTACTCTGTTTGAAAATAAAATAAAATCCCATGTTAAGATCAAGTCTGTTTACAATTAAAATCAGAGCTTTCACAATAATTACTTTCCCAGCCGGTAATAGCTCAGAAATCCCATCTTAATAAAGTCAGATATCTCTCTGTAATCTTTATCTAACAGTGAAGCAAAGAGGAAGGGAAATTCCTCCTGGATCATCAAAACTAGAGGTGTTATTTTGTTCATAAAAATACATAAAAAAATGTAAGAATGTTCTTTACTTGTTCAATAAAAACTTGATGTAAAATATTTGAATGTTTATTATAATTATTTTAAAACAAAAGGAACCTGTTAATTATGAAGAGCCAGTCTTGCGATTTTGTCTTGCTAAAAGAAAGCAATATACCATCTGACATGTTCTTCTCATATACTAACTCCACCAGCCATATTAATTGTTAAAGTTTAGTCTCCTCCGACCAAAAGCACAGTTTCAGATTGAATCCCAGTAATGAAAATTCCATATATCTATGTTACTGATGTTTGGAGTCTCAGAATATCTGTAATGGATTATTGAGATGCTTCTCTTTCCTCAGATCCTTAGATCTCCAACACGGAACACTTCAAATTAATATGCATCCATTCATCCCCCTGAAAATATTTATGGCCTGAGGAACTGATCAATT